GTTGGAGCGCGTGCAAGGCTGGCCTCTCTTGGCTCTCTCCCACAGACGACCCCATCTGCACCCCGTGCGGCCAGGACCAGTGGTCCCCGGCGCGGAGCACGCGCTGCTTCCCGCGCAGGCCGCGGTTCCTGGCGTGGGGGGAGCCGGCCGTGCTGCTGCTGCTTCTGCTGGCAGGCCTGACGCTGGGCCTGGCGCTAGCCGCCCTGGGGCTCTTCATCCGCCACCGCCACAGCTCGCTAGTGCAGGCTTCAGGCGGGCCGCTGGCCTGCTTTGGCCTGGTCTGCCTGGGCCTGGTCTGCCTCAGTGCCCTGCTGTTCCCTGGGCGGCCCAGCCCCCTCAGCTGCCTGGCTCAGCAGCCTCTGTCCCACCTCCCACTCACTGGCTGCCTGAGCACGCTCTTCCTGCAGGCGGCCGAGGTCTTCGTGGAGTCAGAGCTGCCACCGAGCTGGGCAGACAGGCTGCGCAGCTGCCTGCGTGGGCCCTGGGCCTGGCTCGTGGTGCTGCTGGCTGTCCTGGCAGAGGCGGCCCTGTGCACCTGGTACCTGGTGGCCTTCCCACCCGAGGTGGTGGCGGACTGGCGGGTGCTGCCCACGGAGGTGCTGGTGCACTGCCGCGTGGGCTCCTGGATCAGCTATGGCCTGGTGCACATCACCAACACCGTGCTGGCCTTGCTCTGCTTCCTGGGCACCTTCCAGGTGCAGAGCCGGCCCGGCTGCTACAACCGGGCCCACGGCCTCACCTTCGCCATGCTGGCCTACTTCATTCTCTGGCTCTCCTCCGTGCCCCTCCTGGCCAGCGTGCAGGCAGTCCACCAGCCGGCCGTGCAGATGGGCGCCCTGCTCCTCTGTGTCCTCAGCATCCTGGCCACCTTCCACCTGCCCAAGTGCTGCCTGCTCCTGCGGCAGTCAGCGTCCAGCGCCCCGAGTCCTTGGGTGGGGCCCCAGGAGGCCCCGAAGGCAGGGACAGCCGTGGAGGAGGGGAGGAGGCACTGGGGAAAAGCGACTGAGCCTCCACCCAGTGACCTCACCAGTGAACCCAGACCCAGCTGAGACCCTACTCACCCAGTGACCCCAGCCATAGATCCCAGCCCCAGTGACCTCTAGGCCACAGAAGCACGGGGTCCACCCTAGGATCCCAGAGAGCCAAGTTCTGCCCCTGGCCCTGCTGAGCAAGGCCTGCACGGTGCCCCTACCCCACTGTCCGCAGGGAGGCCCGAGCCTCAGCCCGGGACAGGGGCAAGAGAACCTGGCCACATGGCTCCAGCACTTGGCCCAGAATGGGGGACGCAGATGTGCACCCTGGGCAGGACAGGCCTGGCAGCAGGGCAGAGGCTGTTCAGAGGAGGGGCAGTACCACTTGCTCCTCTCCCCGGTCCACCCCAGTGCTGCAGAAAAGGCCCAGCCAAGGGTCAGCACCATGGCCAGCGCCGGCACCAGGACCCCCAAAGCTAGGAGCCAGCCCGGGGCGGAGAACAGCACCCAGCAGACCCATGTAGGCCCAGGTGGAGGCGCAAGCAGGGCTCTCTGGGAAGGCGACCCCAGCACCCCCCCAGCGACACCCCCTGGAGAGAAGTGACAGGCCACACCCAAGTAAAGTCAGTCCCATAAAATTAAACGCTTTTTAGTGTTTAAAATAGCATGTACACAGAAGCAGCTCTATGTTAACTGTCCACACTCTGGGACTTGGACACGGAATCTACAGCAGACACGCAGGACCGGGCCGGGCCAGGCCAGGGGGCAGGGGCGGGCAGCCACCACCGGGACAGTGAGGATGGGCCAGCCAACAGCCTGGCCGCCTGAGACCCTCCCTGCAGCGGCCATGCCATCAGTGTCCCTGGTCCGTGGCCAAGTGCCCCCGGCCACGTGCCCCCGTCCTGGCTGAGCCACAGTGGGCAGGTGCCCACCCTCCACCTCCCTGTCTTCCACACGTGTTCAGACACCACCTGCCCTCCCCAGCAGAAGGGGAAACATGCCAACTGCACCCGTGGGTGGCAGGCACCAGGTGCCACGGCCAGTCAATAAATAAATAAATTAGATCCCCCTCCAGGTGGCCACGGGGGCCGGGAGGCTCTGACTCCACCTGCCAGGCCGGATGGGCAGGGCCTGTGCGCAGCTGGGGGGCACGTGGAGCCTGAGGGTCTTTGTCCTGGTGAGGGGCCAGGCAATACCCACCCGGTGACAGGATGGAGCCCCCACGCCATGTGCTCAGACAGAGCCCGCACTGCCGCCAGACTCTGGCCACAGCGGCCAGGCTGCCCTCGGCCCCTCACCTCCTGCCTGCCCACCACCCACCCTGGCCGGTCCCCACAAAGGCAAGCCCACAAGCGGTCTGGTCAAGACTGCTGGGGCCCTGCCTTGGACGGGGCTGAGGCAGCCGCTGCCGGTCACATGATGTCCACGAAGAACTCACAGGGGTTCCCCATGGCCTTCTGGAAGGACTGGCGACTGCCAGTCAATTCCGGGGGCACAGCGGCCAGCTCCCGGACTGGTGGCCCCCCAGGTGGGCCCCCCACTGCCGTGCAGGCCTTTGTCAGGGGGTGCAGCGGAGGAAGCCCTGGGGCAGCGGCCAAGACCTGGCTGCGTGGGCTGCTGCCGCGGCTGAGCTGACTGCCTGGACGCTCCCGCCAGCCACTGCCACCTGCCCCGCTGGGGGCCACGTGCTCTGACTCGCTGCCACTGCCCCCGGCGCCGGCCGCCCGGCGCTCCTTCTCG